CGCGAACGATTTGAGATACCAACTCAAGATATCTTATTTTCACAGCTTGCTGGTTCAAAATATTTCAGCTTGTTGGATGCATCTTCTGCATTTTTGCAAATTCCCTTATCATATGAAAGCTCTCTTATGTGCACAATTTCCACGAGTTTCGGTAGATTCCGCTATCTGAGGCTGCCCTACGGAATATCATCCGCACCGGAAATTTTCCAAAAATTTATGCATGACACCTTGTCTGGCATTTCTGGCGTGATTGCCTATTTCGATGATGTGTTAGTTTTCGGCCGTAATAAAGAAGAACACAACAAAAACTTGATGATTGTGTTGCAGAAAATTAAAAACAGTGGACTGACACTGAACATTGAAAAATCAAAATTTTTTGTGAAAAAAATTAAGTTTCTAGGGCATGAAATAAGTGATATAGGAATAGCTCCGGATCTCAAAAAGACTAAAGCAATTTGTGATATGAGAGAACCAAAAAACAAAAAAGATTTACAACGTTTCCTTGGGATGATAGTTTACTTGGCCAAATTCATTCCGAACTTATCTCAAGAAACTACCCAGTTGAGAAAACTCCTTAGTGAAAAATATGAGTGGCAGTGGACTGATTTGGAGGATCAGTGCTTCAATAGATTAAAGAAGTTGGTATCGTCTGCCACAACTTTATCTTATTTTGATCCCGCTAAGGAAACAACCTTATCTGTAGATGCGAGTCCATTTGGGCTTGGTGCAGTCTTAGTTCAAGACAACAAACCTATTGAATTTGCTTCTGTATCTCTGACAGCAACCCAGCAAAGATACAACCACATTGATAAAGAGTTGCTGGCTTTAGTCTTTGGCTGCGAGAGGTTTCATTATTATCTCTATGGTAATTTTTTCAAAATAGAATCAGACCACCGACCACTTTTGGGAATTTTAAAAAAGCCACTTGACGAATTATCACCAAGAATTCAACGGTTGACGCTTAGACTGTTGAGATATCAATTTCAGTTGCAGTACGTACCCGGCAAGCAGTTACAAATCCCAGATACTCTTAGTCGAGATCCAACATCCGACACAATAGATACCAGTTACCTAGAAAACAATCTCAGAGTTTATTCAATTATAGCAACGTCTGAAGAAAATGAGCGCCGATTGCAAAATGCGACTCTAGATGACAGTGTTTTACAGATAATAAAACACTATGTCCTCACTGGTTGGCCTCAACACAAGGCCAGTGTCTCTAGAGAGATCAAAAAGTTTTGGGAGATCAGAAATGATATTTATGTTCACAAGAAGATATTGTTTTATAAAAAACGAATAATAGTTCCAAAAATTTTAAGAAATGAACTATTAGCTGTTATTCATCAATCACATCAAGGGCTTACATCCTGTAAGAAGAGAGCCCAGGATGCAATTTATTATCCTGGAATGAGTTCTGATATCGAAAATTTAGTCTTGAGCTGTGCAATCTGTCAAGCTTACTCAGCAAGCAACCAACGCGAACCTTTATCTCCTCATGAAATCCCTGTACTGCCATGGCAAAAAATTGGCATGGATTTCAAATCCCTTGGGCGTGAGGACTTCATTGTCATTGTAGACTACTACAGCAAATTTGTGACTGTCAATAAAATCAGCAGTAAGACGGCTCATAGCGTGATTTCAACATTGAAAAATATATTTGCCATTCATGGGCTGCCATTGGAGATATTTTCCGATAATGGCCCTCCATTTAGCTCGTATGAATTTAATGAATTTGCTAGAAAATACGATATAAAATTATCGACATCCAGTCCACAGCATTCACGCTCAAATGGAATGGTCGAACGTCACATACAGATTGTGAAAGCTCTATTGACCAAAGCTTATAGAGATAATCAAGATCCATTCTTGGCAATTCTCAACTACAATGCAACTCCCAAACAAGACTTACCGGCACCATCTCAGCTGTTGATGGGCAGAAGAATTCGCACAACACTACCTGTTAGCTTTGATATCCTGAAACCAGATTTCCCAGTTGATAACCTGAGGGAAAAATTAGAAGCTCGCCAGATGAAGCAAAAAAGATACTACGACAGGTCGACGAAACTTCTACCACAAATACAGCCCAATCAACAGGTTTTTGTCAAGGATAAAACTCGTGAATGGAAACCAGGCACAGTTGTGAATAAAACAGGCCCTAACGATTACAACGTTAGAGTCGATGATGCAGTATATCGCAGAAACAGACAGTCCTTAAGGAAGGCTAAAATTCATCTTCCTGGCTGTTCGTCTTCAGAAGATGAGGCTTCAAATGAAGTTGAAAAAATCCTGGATGAACCTGAAGAAAAATCAAACACCACCAATTCTCCGAGTCGTCGAACAGACCTAGAAATCGGCAGTCCTCGAGCCAGCCCTACAACTAGTAAAGCGGAGGGTGAAGCGACAAATTCATGTTATATGACAAGAAGTGGTAGAATGGTTAAGCCTTTGAATAGATTGGGACTTTGATTTATCTTGATCTACCTATCATATAAGTAAAAATGCTCATCTCATAATTATGAATATTTAGAACAAATATTCTTCGCACATGTATGTAAACTTATCTTCTCAGTTAACTTCTTAGTTGTCTCCTTTAAAAGGGGCGTGTGATGTATTAACTTTCAAATACATTTTCCTAGACGTGGCAACGCTGCGTCAGTACTATTGCAGGTAGTGGACACGCGTATCTATTAGATTCAATGTAATCAAAATATTGAATAACGATAAATAGCCTAAGTGAAAAGTACCAACTCCGAGTTATTAATATGATGTTATAAGTTCATCATATATTACAAAAGAACAAACATCACATCAATCACCTTCCCAATCCTTAACATAAAGTAAATACATCCTATACCCGATCTGGTGGAATTGGCACCGCAAGGAGTCAGAAAACCAATAAAGACAACAGAAGAAGAAGAACAAAATCAAAACATCAACCTGAATTTATCAAATGCATCAATCAAGAAAATAATGCCAAACGAAGTTAATTGATTCACCATGGTCGATTCCTAGTGAAACCATCCGCATCAGCGTTCCTGGAAAATCCAATACCTATTGTCCTACTGTGATGAAGTTTCAAGTGGAAATAGCAGTGTGAAAAGTGAGTATGACAATGTCTCTGAAATGATATTTCATATCACTTTATATTATTTATCTCTTTCAGATAAGTTCCTGTAAAAACCATCTGAATCTTCCTTCTACTTGGATCACAACAAAGCAGATATAGCAAGAGATATCAATGTATTCATAGAAATTGTATTTTTATTATATGTACAGTGTGAAATCTCAGGTGTGTATCCACATATCAGGTTTGAGAATAATTAAATAATATAAAACAGATTGAGTTCAATTTATGTTATTGAAAAATGTGAACCATGAAATTGTGACAAAATATCCTGTCAGATGTGCTCAGCAGTACAGAATAGTATAGAATCAGACCAAATATACAGTAGTGAATATTTACATGCTACAACCCATTCTACCCTATGTTAACACAATGATTCACGAACATAATAGGGAATCCCTTTCATGCGAGATGGTCTAATGTTCTATCTATTTTTCAGATTTATTTATTTATTTATTTATTTCAGTTATTGCATTACATTATCTTCTTCATTGATACATTTCATACAAATAATATATAAAGTATAAATAGTTTTCTAGTACGAATGACATGAATGATCAGACAGTAATTCCTGGTATAAGATCATTCATGAAGTATTATCGACTGTTGTATAATTGAAATTACAAATAGTGAACAAAACTTACATATCATTAAAATATCTCAAAATAACAGTCATATTATAGTAAACAAGAATGGGAAAAATGAAAACAGTGAGGAAATTCATAGTCTTTCAGCTTTGATCATTCCGTTCCGAATTCCTGATTAATATAAAATTTGATTTAAGCTTTTTCTTGATGATATAATAGGAAATTTTGAGAGTATTTATTGAAAAGTGCTCTTCCAAAGAAAATGTGTTTGTTTCCTTATACAGTTGATTCTTTGGGGTATCATATGGAAGACGATACAATACTTTCAATGCCTTTTTATATAGAACAAAAATTTTGTTGAAACTTTTTTTGAAACAAGATCCCCAAATATTTATGAGATAGTTAATTCGACTGAGTATATGTGAATAGAGAATAATATTTGATGTATATGTACTAAGTTTAGGACATCTTCTCAAAGCAGCAATAATGGGAGATACTTTTCCTATATGAGGATATCA